AAGACCGCCCCCCCCCCCATTTAAAAATAGTGTAAACTGTGATATTTACATATGACTGGGCAGCGCTATTTCCATATGAATAAACTGCGACTCATTCTCCCAAAAAAATGTCCGCGCGTCGCTGCAGTGTTCGGGTTTCGCTTGAAGAAAAGGTGGCGACCCTACTCACAGCTGATATCCTGGAGCCCGGGGTCCCCCTTGGCGTGCCTTGGCACACATACTGCAGGCATGGTGAGTCAGGCCACAAGGAGCCCTTTACTACAGGCGCCGATCATCACATAGGTGGGAAGGAAGAAGTCCTGTACTGGGATTGTACTGGGAGCATAGGCGATCTCTCCACACAGGTGCACCTGCCGCATCTCCCACCCAGCCTTAGCCACTATATAGGTTTGTGTGTGTATGTGTATATATATATATTACAGTTGATACCTTTTGACTCCCTGATCTCCGTTTTTTTCTTGTATTTTCCTTGGCTCGGTGTGAATGCTCCAATGTTGTGTAACAGTCAGGTTGGGTCTCAGCCTTGTAGCATCAGCAAGTGTTTTGAGGCGCTTCATCAGGGGTGGCAGGTAGACTGTGACTTTGATAAATCTGCTTGACTATCAGAGCTGTCACAATGCCGCACTAGGGGTAGGGGGCAGCACTTGCCTTGCCCCGCCTTGCCCCGGGTGCTGACAACCCATGCTACGCCACTGATGTATAGCACAGTGTGTATAGCACAGTGTTTAAAGTGCAGCAGTCTGGGGACTGTAATGTATAGCGCAGCAGTCTAGAAAATGTAATGTATAGCAAGCTAAACTCCAGGCAAACAACTAAATACACAGGTGAATAACCTATAAAGGAGCTTTGTGTTTCTGTCCATCCTTATGTCTATCTGGCTGTGCTCCGAATGTTACATTATGATATGTAGTGTCACATTGTACACAGTATCTCCACCCGAAATGCTTTCTTCATTGCAGGTGATCTATCTGGTCCCAGCCACCCTCATCCTTCTGCTCAGCATAAAGCCAGACATAACAGGTAAGAAATGCCTACACATAGGGAACTGAACTCCATCACATGGCAAAACCCCATCAAATCTATATCCTGGGATGGTGGTTCTCGGCAATAATTGAGATTTATTTTAACGTTTGTTTTCATTGCTAAAATTTAGCACAACTAATAAAAGCTTTATACAGCATTGAGCAGACACGGACTGTATTGTAATAGAGATTTCCAAATAAGACATAATCGACAACTTGTGGGGCATTATTAAAGTTAAAAAGGAATGGATAAATCTATTTAATAAAATATGAATTAAAAAAACACAAACAATTTTATATTTCAAAATCATAAACATCATAAAAAGGATTTGCAAGCAAGGTCCAACTCCAGCCAAAGTTTTGGATGTAGTTGGGAAGGATTAGAACTTAGCCAGTTCTCTATCCACGTACACACCACCTCATCTATGCCCATAGCCCTCAGCTTGTGTAGCAAGTGTTTGTGTGGTACGTGTTCCTCTTCATTGATAACATGAGGACAGAGTATGTTTACTATAACCACAATCATGAATAAACAGAAAGTGATGTAGGAGGTGATGTAGATCACTCCCATTCATTCATAATTGAGTATATAGTAACCATACCATGTCCTCAATTATCTACAAACACTCAGCGATCTCTGAGTGTTTGTATCTCGCTGTCCTCTCTGACACGCTGTCACAGGAGGCTGAGCGAGCGGTGCAGGAAGGAGAGCTCCGCCTCCTGTGACAGCGCAGCCTGTCTCCGCCCACACACCGCTCTACCGGACTGTGATAGGAGGCTGAGCAGCGTGGGAGGAGAGACGCCGGACGCTCACAGCGCTCTATTCCCGTAGCGCTCGGCCAGCTGTCACTTTCTCTCCTCCCCCGCTGGAACACAGAGCAGCGCCCAGCGGGGAGGAAAGAAACCTGGGATGCGCCGCTGTATCAGCAGGAAAATGGCCCTTTCGGCATTATGCGAAAGTGCAATTTTCGGCCGATATGTTTCGGCGGCTGATATATCGGTGCATCCCTAGTTAGAACCTCCTGTTAGCTTCCGTTGTGGTTTGCACCTCTACTACTATATTTTTCCTCACTTCCTGTCCCAGCAACATGGACACATCTCTTCTCTATGTAAGAGGGGCCACATGCAAAAAACGGCATGGGGTTCCACGAAAAGCTATTTGCGGTCAGCAAATTCTCTTAATTGTTGGGAGAACGTCCAGCGAACCCATCTTCGCTCGGTTCACTCATTATTAATTCTAACATGACATTATTCTGTTTCCCTGCGCAGGTCATGTGATCTGGAAGACGTTGTCAGACCTCCATTCTGCAGTGTGTCTGGTTGGAGCTTCCTGTCTGTTCATTTCTCTACTTGTATACGGCAAGAAAAACATTCTGCACGAGGAGGAAGGCAGGTGGGTCAACACAGCATGGCATCTTCCAGCACCACAGTGTGCATTCAACAATGGGTGGGTGCCTTAACTGCTCTGCAGGGACACATGACTAGTAGTATAGGACACCACGGTATATATATGACACTGCAGATTGGGGGGCGCATTGGTGAATAAAGCCTTCCGGTTCCCTACAAAGGCCAAGCGCTTTCAAATCAGGTCTACAGTAAGCAACCTCGGCACTCTAGCTGTGCTTAAACTACAAGTAACATGAGGCATTTCAAGACTGACAGCCACATGCATGGCTCCTATAGAAGGATTTGTAGTTTCACCAAAGCTGGAATTCATAGGTTGCCTACCCTGTGTTACAGTATTCACTACACTTCTGGACTTTTGTCCATTATGGGACCATTAGCCATCCCTCCTAGTGTCAGACAGCCAGAGACCTCCTTTAATATTCACATTACCAGGTTGTGTCACCAGTCAACTGATTGGCATTCTGTCTCCACAGGGAACTCTCTGGGTTGACGATTATCGTATTGTGGCTTCTCCTCTGCCGGAATTCTGGGAGGTGAGTGTCGGCTTTATGATCACGACGGACTGGTTTGCTGAATACTGGCCTGTAACATTGTATAGATGACATTCCCATATCACACCGATTATCTTACAGGGGGTCCATGGGTGGCCTGAGGCTGCTTATCGCCGTCTCCATTGCTGTTTTCCCTTTCGTAACGTGGCTGTATATCTACATCAACAAGGAGATGAGAACGTCATGGCCGCAACACTGCAAAACCGTCATCTGAGGTAGTAGGATTGTAGCTTGACTTTTTTTTCTTCTATGAGCTCAGGTGTTCCAAGCAACTTTCAACTAGTAAAGCTCACCATACACATTACAATCTGATTGTACAATATACTTTAGATCTACCACCAACTATGTAGTACAAGGGTCTACCTGGATAGTTACACAGTGAATGGATTGAATAGGTAGGTCCTAATATCACACCGTTTTGGCAAACCTAAAGGATATTGTATAGAGACTCTACAACCAGACTGTAACTTGTGTGGCTGGGTTAGGCATAGTACTGTATATGGGGCTTGAAGTCCCATATCCTGTTTGGGTTCTGAGAAAACAAAGATTTAATTTTTCTTAGAACTGCAACTTTTTCATCCTGACTACCTATGGACTGTGGAAGGATGAGATCTCTCTCTGTCCCTACTGGGGAGAAATCCCACCACTTCCTGTCCCCTCCCATTGCTGTGAATTGATCTTCCAGTTTTCCTTCTCTGGAGTCACTCTTCATCTATTCCTACAAGATGGGACAAGATGAGATGACATTTTGTCTTGGGACCCCTACATCCTCGGTCTTGTTGTATTCCTACAAGGCTTCTGCCGTCCACCTTAAAAGAGAACTATGGAGTAAGTGTTTTTCTCCATAGTTCTCTTAAGGGTCACGGGAGGACATATACTAGCGTCCTCCCGTGACCCAAAGCTCAGTATATAGGGAGCTACAGCTCGCGGTATACTGAGTCCGCCGCAGCCGGGGACGGATCCCGACATTACTGTCGAGATCCACCCAGCTGCGTGAGTGACAGCTGGCTCTGCCTATCTAGAGGCAGAGCCTGTTGTACCCGCCCCCTCCCCCATCCGTTCCCCCAGTCAGCGCTGGAGGATCGGAGCGGAGAGGGGGGAATCCCTGCAGGAAGCTGTGACTGACTGTCACGGCTCTCTGCAGGGACAGGATCGAGAACTGAGCGAGCGACGGTATGTGTTCGCTCACTTCCCGATCTAATAAGCCAACCTGTGACAGTTTCATTGTCACACGTCGGCTCAAACTTTGAGGTTGAGTGATTTTCACTCACCTCATAGTTCTCCTTTAAATCTATCTGGTCAGACCTTCTAGCTGACATCTCATTATTTAGGAAACGGTGGTGAGTGACCTGTTGGTGGGTAATTGTTTTATTTGTTGGGTTTTAGTACTAGAAAGACTTTTACATGAAAGATCTGCCAGTCTATACCACATTTTCATTCCTCTAATCTTTTCATTTACCTAGGACCAGAGAACCCCATAGGATTAATGGATGATCTACTATGAAGTCTTTATATTCCGGCTCTGTAAGTGGTCGGGAACAATGGTTACGTTCCATGAAGAACTTGTATGGACATTCCTAGATTCATACAGCCTGGTTCTCATTGTATCTCTGGGAATAGACACTTCATAGCTCATGGCATGACACATCCTATTGCCAGGTTGCTGATACAAGAAATGTGATCATGGAGATACTTCCAAGGTCTACTGGAGTGAGCAATGTTGGGGACATTTTATGAAATGAGACGTCACTTTGTGTATATTGTATAGGACCAAAGTAATGTTTAAAAACCAGGGCAGTTCACATTTGTTTGAATTGCGCCAGTGACCTCACCGTCATTAACTGTTGAAGAAGCATCCCCACCCTGGCTGTTGCCTTCAGAAACAGATGCAAGATGTTCCTCAAGAATACTTCCTTCAACCAGAACCCTTCTCTTCCTCCATGGTCTGAGCTGTTGGAGAAGGTTCTGTCAACCACCCCATGGTGACCAGATGAGACCCCCAAAAAATTGAGACATCCATATAGAAGATGCTGATGACTTTTCGTTGTGTGTAAACTCGGCTAGTAAACATCTACATATATCGGATGACCTGAAAATTGCCTCTTGGTCAAAGAAAGAAGAGGGCCCTTGTGCAGAGCTGGACTCTGGACAATATTCCTCACCTCTGCCCATCCTTGGAAGGATGCCATCTGATCTGTGGCTGCTGTGTGGCTCCATTCAGATTGTTCACCTGTCCTGTAACACTGCTCGCCATGTCCTATGTTATAGGTGGCCCTTAGAAACAGCAGGAGGATCTCCTCCAGGGCCTACAAACCTCTTACCACCCCAATCAGGCTATGTCCTATCCATATATTATCCACCTCCTCCCGCTTATAGCCCCCTGCTCTGCATTGTTGGATGTTTTTGTACTTTGCTGCCACTTTGAGTCAGTGCAGACCACCCACAGACACCAGAATGATTGTTATTAGACTAGTAGAAGTGTATTATATGATGGCTCTATCAGAACTGATTGTATGTGACTCTTCTATCAGGAA